GAGGCGAAGAATACTGGGATATGTTTCAGGACGCTTACCGAGCTGTCCAACAACATTATAGATATGGTTCCTGGTAAACTATCAGTAAACAGTTCATATGTATTGAAAGAGCTTTATATCAGGTATCATGACGCTGATATGAGAACTGGGAAAGCTACATACTGGCAGTTCACGAGTCTGCAAGCATTTTGGCCTGGACTACAGGTAGGAATTTATCGAGAGTTTTATGAAACGTTATGATCTTTTATTGCAGGTTTTGATAGGTGATATTGCCGCTGCAAACGCTACCCACAGAGAATTTCTCCGCTTGTGGGAGATGTTTGGTATTTTTCCTGAAAGGTTTCGTTTTGTAGAGTTTTGATCCTGCTTTGCTTACTATCCTTATTATCTTTTTTTTTTTGTCTCAGATACTTACTTGATGCCGGAAAAGTCCACCCCACAGAAAGATACTATCCACTTCGTCCAGAGTTGGCGGAGTCCACATTCTTTTTATACCAAGCTACAAAAGGTAAAATAGTAGAAAAAGTTTGGATTTGATTGTATGTTTTGCTTTTCAGATCCTTGGTATTTGGACGTGGGAAAGAAAATCATGAACTCTATCAATGTGTTTAGCCGCGTGCCCGGAGGCTTTGCTAGCGTCAGAGATGTCATGACTATGAAACTAGAAGACCATCACCATAGTTTTTTCTTATCAGAGACGTAAGTACTCACACCTCCTGCGTGCTGATGATCACAAATCCTTTCAACAGGTGCAAATACTTGTATTTGCTATTTGATGACAGCTTCTTGGACGGCGAGAACCATGTTTTCTCCACCGAGGGCCATCTCTTCCCTGTCAACCAGTCGTGGCAGCAACAGCCCCGTCCCAAGGTACCAGAGGATCAATCTCGCGAAACATAAGTAGCGTTTGTGTGTTTTGACAGATATTGTCAAGGCTACGACTATTTTCAAGGCAAAAGCCGATAGACACCAGCGCTCTCACATCAAAGACATGTCCTCGCTTGAGCAGAGGAAGTGTGGAATCGGCATGCCACATCCCAGACACTCGCGCTGACCACCGATGCGTTTCAAGGTCGGACTGTGGCGTAGACGCGACTACTTGCGCGAAGAGGTCGTGTAGTTTTGCCGGTTATTGCTCGTGACAAGATCACCAAAAAAAAGCATATAGAAATTATTTTTTCTTCCCCAGAAAAATAAGATGCATATATTGACAATCCCAGAAGAAGAAAAAAAAGGATAAAAGGGAAATTAATTTCCATTGCCGGGATTTGAACCCGGGTCGCCTGGGTGAAAGCCAGGTATCCTGACCGGACTAGACGACAATGGATCAATGAAATTTTGGCAGTTCAAAAAGGTTGATTACAGTTTATAAACACAGATCCTTTTCCTATCAATAGGGTTTGTTATCAAAAACAATCAGTCCGAGAGAGAAAGAGACTGCCGCGAATCATGTGGTCGCTAGAGCCCAGCTTCTTCGATGAGCATGGAGCGCTTGTAAGTGATCTTCCAGCGCTAGATCCAGAAGATGCAGCTGCATGGCTCTCCGCTTCCACCACTTTCTCGACATTGAGCATCACGGCATCGGTGAGGGGCGCTGTTTTGCGATCTGTGAATGCCGAACAGCGTTATAGGCAATTGCACAGGGTGGAAAAGGAAAACAAGTACCCTGGCTGGATGCTACTCAAAGTGGTGCTTGCGGAAGTGCATTATCTTTTGTTCGACAAAGCTGGGGCGCAGCAGCGGCTGCTGGATGTCCAAGATGCCATAGGGCGTGGTAAGGATGAGCAGCTGGACAGGGCCGTGCTGGAGCTTTCCAAGCTTATCCAGGAGGAGGACGATGGAGATGAAGATGACGAAGAGGCGGAGGTGGAAGAAGGCATGCAAGTCACTTCCTATGTGCGACCTCAACCTTTCTCGTCTGTTCCGTGTTCGTGGAGTGCGGAGGAGATTCGGCACAAGTGGCAGACGAGAACAGAAGTTGATATTGCTGAGTTTGGCCGCTACGCAGCCATCACCACAAACGTCCTGGAAGGAGTGTTTTCGCTTGAGGGTCGCAGCTTGTCGCGGCTGGTCAAGCGTGGATTCGACGTTGACTCGATCGAGGGTATTCCTGTCACCAGTTGCATCAAGAGGAAGGCCAAGAGGAAGGCCAAGAGGGAGGCCAAGAGGGAGGCCAAGATCGTGCAAATCCTGGAGAACACACAGTCCTGCTTCGAATACCTCATGAAGAATTCTGCTGCTTTCAATGACTCGACGATCCAAGATGTACACAAGAGACTTATGGAGGAAAACAATCTCAACCACAAGGTTGACAATGGTCGGTTTTATGCTTGTCTCGTGCCTTGTGGCAGCTACCGCCGAGTTCCATGCTATACAACCAATGGCAACTTGGAAACTCGATTTTGTCCTTGGAGGCAGATCCCTACGGAGATGCAGTGGTTCTTTGAAGAGGCTCGGCAAGCAATGTCCGACGACTCTGCTGATCCATTCTTGGTGTCTGCCTGGCTACACATCGCGTTTCTCAGCATTCACCCCTTTGCTGATGGTAATGGTCGGGTGGGCCGAATGATTTCCTCTCTTCCACTTGTCAAGGCAGGGCTCCCCCCTGTTGTGGTATCTTTCGAGCAGAAGCGGAAGAAGAAGTACTTCGCTGCACTGATAGAAGCTCGTAAGTCGGGTGATCTAGTACCGCTGGCTTCGTTTCTGAAGGAAGAGGTTGAGCTAGCGATCATTCACATCTCCAATTTGGATGATGCTTGATCTTGTCTTGAATTCGTAATTTCCTATTAAGCAATTTCGATCTCTTTTTTCAAGACTAAGCTTTAATTTCCATTAGAAATTCAGCTCGACAACCAGAGTTGATTGGCATCAGTAAAAGAGTTTCTTTGCAAATTGCAAGAGTCGAGTCTTGTTTCTTCTCAGGGCATCATCCCCGATCCATAGGAAGCGCCTGCAACTCACGTTGCTAGGGTCCCTGCCAGTACAGTGCTCATGCGGGCAGCTGGAGCTGCACAGATCCAGACGCTTGCTGCAACGCGGGAGAGGTTCTGACGAAGGTCATCAAGGTTCTGTAAACACTTGGTAGTGACCTGGGATTGATGCCAGGTTGCGTCGTGTAGCAGCAGCACACTTGGGAGATTTCACAGTGCATGGCTCTAGAGCTGGAACTCACACTTCGCAACACTCACTCAAGAGCTGGTGCAAATTGAACCTGTTTATTTTATGATCAGGAGAGCAGGTTGCATGGTATATGAGAGGAATTATCCCTTTCCATTGAGGTAAGAATTGCCACTTAAATGCTAAAAACAAATGATAAGAAAGGAATTAAAAGGCAACAAAGTTTGCCATGCTAGAGGTTGCACAGTTGCACATATGATAACTCCGTCCATCTATTGGTGGATTTTAAAATTATTTTAATTTGGACTTTATGTATGGTTTAGTAAGCATGTCTCTTCAACACGTGATGATCATCTACTTAAACAATAAAAATTTATTATCCTTTTAGATTAATTAATTGAGTAGATTATATTACTTATTATTTCTTTTCCATTATGCATTTTAGCACCACCACCATTTGAATATATATTTCCTGATCAGCCTATGACGCTTTACTCCAGTGATCCTGATGCACTATCTCGAGATAATTTTAAAGCTATATTGAAGAATATAGATGAATATATTGACTCCCTGAAAAGAGAAGAAACTCTTCCAACAAAAAGTTACTCAAGAACGTTTTATATTACTGATAATGTATATTGTATTTTAACATTATGGATTCATTTGCCACTGGGTTTTAATGCAAAAGAACCTACTTATACATTATGCAAGATAATCCCACTACAATATGGATATAATGGATATGAAGCTTATAATATTTTTCGCAGGCTTCGGGATTATATTTCCACGAATGCGTAAAGACCAAAATAAAAGGTATTTTGGAGAATTTGAAGCTAATTTTAGAAATTTTGCTATGCAATATGATATTTATGGTTCACATCCTCCAACATTTTATAATAATTTTATTATTGAGAACAATACTTATCATAAACTTAATAATTATGATGGTTATTGTGATATTTATAGATCATCTCTTATTGGTGGTGATATTAACAAACATGGATCTACCATATTAAATGGAAATAGCTTAGTCTCACCATACACAAATTATAGATTGACAATGAAAAATTGTCAATTATTCTTTTATCAAATTAAAAGTAAACAAACTATCTGGAAAAGTAAAGAGTTTAATTTATTGACTTCAAACAAAGACATTAATTCAGAAATCTTAAATGATTGTTTTGCACATCTAGACAGAACTGGCCATTTGACTATAGTAAATAATAACTTTGTAATATGGGAATTAATATCACAACATTCTAAATATCAAGCAGGATTAGAAGTATCAGATAATGGCTATCTTTATATTTATGATACAGAGAAAGGTGAAATTTTATGGTCAGTTCATTAATTATATTCTTAAAATCTCTAACAAATTGAAGTTAAGAGTTTGCTTCTGTAATGATTTGATTTTAGTATAATTAATATTCCTAAAATATCCATTACTCGATTAATCATACTTATTAACACATAATTAAGAAATATAAATAGAAATATAATGTTTCATCCAGTGCTCAGTTTCTCGTGAAAACTCTTGAAGGAAATGGCTTGACAAAAGAAATCCTCGTCACACCCATGGAAATAATATTGACAATATATATCCCCTAAAAGTGTATATGTTCGCTTTAACTATTTTTTCCTACCTAGAGAACTTGCAAGAGAAAATGTTGCTCTCTTTTTACTGCCACTAGAATTGCTCAATTCGTCGGGTCCTTCCCATGGACCCTATTGTTTCTGATAGAATCTGCTAGATTCCCCGCGTATATAATATTTCTTTGTCGTGAAAATGGGAGTAAACGCGCATCCAAAAGTCTTTCTTTGCCACGACTTCCTGCGTTCGATTATTTTGCTCTCGAGTCTTCACGGCTACGCGTCACAGAAATTGGACCAGCGACTGGTCAGTGACCACTGTTTACGCCCTTGATTTTCCTCGAAGGCGATTGTAGCGAAATATATTCTCGCTATGCCGCAGTGTTCCTTATCTAGGGCTAGATCAGCGAGCTGGATTCTCGCAGGAAAGATCGCGCGGCCGGCCAGGAATCGGCGCCGATGGAGGTGAGAATTCGAGGCGCCGGCAGGTTTTCACAAGATCGGCATCGAATTGCTACCTAGGGAAGAAGATCTCCAAGAATTCGCAAGGATTTTGCTAGATCGTGTCGAATTCCTGGTGGATAGGTGAAATATCGCGCGGCAAGCTGAGGTAGAGCCGATAATCCATCGAATTCCAGCCGGATCTGGGAGCTATGGCGCACGATAACGACTATGAAAGATCTTCGCCGGCCGCCGTCAACACCAGGATCATGGTCGCGGCAGTGGTGGTGCTGTTCGTGGTCGTGCTCTTCATCCTCTTCTTGCACATCTACGCGCGCTGGTTCTGGCGTAGCGCCAGGCTCAGGGCTGCCGCGAGGGGCGGATCAGGCGGCCGGGCTTGGTCGCGGCGATTTGGCAGGCGGAGGAGAATGCGATTCACGGTCGAGCCCGGGATTGCCGCCAACGGCGTGGTGGTGCCGAGCAAGGGATTGGACAAGGAGGTGCTGGAATCGCTCCCCATCTTCTTCTACACGAAGAAAGATGGAGAGGTGGTCAAAGAAGGCGACCGCGAAGAGGAGGAGGAGGAGGAGATCTTGGAGTGTGCCGTGTGCTTGTCCGAGTTTGAGGAGAACGAAGCTGGGCGGAGGCTACCAAAATGCGGCCATGTCTTCCACACCGAGTGCATCGATATGTGGTTCTCTTCCCACTCGACGTGCCCGCTGTGTAGAACCAGCGTGGGATTGGAGGCTTCCAGCGATCGAGATCGAGACCTCGAGCGAGGCGAGGCCGCGGAAGCTATAGCGGTGGAGGGTGGAAGCAGCAACGGGTCTCAAGGCGAGCAGCTGCTACGAGAGGCTGCGGTATCGGGTCTGATCACTGGCACGAATGCTTCTCCAGCGGTTTCCAGCACAGGTGGTACTACTGCTATAGCAATTCAGATCCTCCAGGACGAAGGAGCGATTCTACTCCAGGAGCAAAGCGGTCCTTCGTCAAGCTCGTCGGGATTGAAAGGTCAGTCATCTCAGCAGCAGCACTTTCCAGCCAGCGTTTTGTTCTGGGGGAATCGCTCGTATACAAACTCCAACAGTGCTACAGTTGGTTCTTCGTCGGCGGCGGCATCTCAACAACAACAAGAACAGCACGAGACGGCGACGACGACTGTTGCTACTGCCGCGTCTTACACGCCATCGCCCAAGAAGCAGCGACGCGAGCTCATCATCGATGTCCCTCGTCGATCCGCCGCCAACTTCTCGTCGGCGTGCTCCTCGCAGTTGCCTTCGCCCAATTCGGCAGAAGGTGGGGGGCAAAGATCCCCGCTGGGAGCGCACCTCCGGAGCATCAAGAGACTCCTGAGCAGGGACTCGAGGCGCGACACTTCGCCATCTCCAGTCGGACGAGATTGCTGTGAATCATCGCAGTATCACTCGGCTTGTCACACGCCGGGATCCATCACCCCGACATCACAGTGCTGATTTTTAAAACTCTGGTGAGTTTTTTGTTTTTCTGTTTCAAGCAGATATTCTTAGGTGACGCGTTTCTCTTTCTTCTCTGTTATGAACAGTTAGCATACGGAAGTTTGCATCGATACGTTAACTGTAAACAAAACAGTGTCCTCGTAACCAGCGGTTCGTTGAACTACTTCATACAAATTGAGCGAAAAAGTTTTGGCTTTGCATTACAGGAACCAAGAATATGAGCGAAAGAGAGAAAAAAAAAAAAAAAAACAGAGAAATCCTGTGCGACTAGAGACTGAACCTGCCGCTGAGGCTCTCGATCCACGAGGAAGACTGGAAGATGATGCTGTGCATCCGCGCCTCGTCCTCGCGGATCCGCCGCCGCTTGCTCCGCAGCTCCTCCTTCCGCCGCTGGAGCTCCTTGTTCACCTCCTGCAAGCTCACCTCGATGTACTGGAGAGACTTCTCCTCCTCCTCGAGGCTCACTTGGCCGGGGCCGCCAACGATGGCACTGGGACAGGTCGGGGAGGCGCTCCGGAGCTGCTGGACCCGCTCGATGAGCGACGAGGAGGCGGTGGTGGCGGTGGCGGAGTTTGGAGGAGCGGCGTTCCCAGCGGCGGCGCCATTGATGGAGCAGCCGAGCTGGAAGTCGGAGAGTGGGAGGTTGCAAGCGCCGACGCTGGCATACGGTTTGAAGGGGCGGGTGGTGGCGGCGGTGGTGGTACCGGCGGCGGTAGCGGTGGCGGCGGCGGTGGGCGATACCGGGGCGCTGCTGCAGCTGTTGATGACGAGCGGCGGCGAGTTTTGCTCGTCCGAGGTGAGCGTCCCGGAGTTGGGCGGCGAGGAGGTGGGCGAGAGCGTGGACGAGTGGGAGTGGCCGGCGGGCGAGCGTGGCGGCGGCGGCGGCGGCGCCACCGCGTTGACGATGGGGATGGTGAGCAGCGGCGTCGACTGCGTGCGCTTGCGCGAGATGCTGCGGATGGGCTTGGAGTAGCAGGGCGCGCAGAGCGGCGGCGAGGCGGAGGAGGAGGGCGAGTCGGGGCCGAAGTGCGGCGTGAAGCAGATGCAAAAGAGGCGATTGTCGCACTTGGAGCTGAGCAGCGAGATGGCGAGCTTGAACGAGGCGCGGCCGGACACCATCCGCGTGGGGCGCTCCTGGGCGGGGAACTCCACGCCGTTGAAGGTGGTGAAGAGCGGCGGCTCCGCAAGGAAGGGCTTGTCGTCGCGCACCACGGGGGAGTGGTCGTGGGCGTAGGCCACCGACGCGACGATGGTCACGTCCTTGGTCACGTTGGCAGCCAGGTTGCCCGACTCGTCCAGGAGGTGGACGTTGAGCACGAACTTCCGGCGGCACGACGCCTTGCCCCCGAGCACGGTGAGGACGTCCGAGCTCTTGCCGATGCCCATGGCCTCGGACGCCACCGACGCGACCAGGCGGTAGGGCAGTGGAGAAGCTGCCGCCGCCACCATTTCTCTCTCTTTCTCTACTCTCTCCTCTCTCCTCTTTTTCTCTCTCTTCTTCTCTCACTGTGAAACTTTAACCCTTCTACCGTTTGCTCACAACCCACACGGTTTACCGCAACCGCCAGTCTCCAGGCTAAACCGTAACTGTTCATGAACAGTTAGGGCTTCTATACAACATTATCTATAATGGTTAAAAGGAAGTCTAGGGCATGCTTAAAGGAATGCACATAGATATCTTCTCTATCTAATTGCTAAGTTGGAGTCTTGAATGCTGAAAGAGGTCGGGCCTTGAAATGAAAGGTGGTCGCTTGGAAGGAGGGGCAGCAGCCACTTCTGCAGGCGGCAGAGAGTTCCCGAAGCAAAAGAGCAGCGTCTCCAGCGTTGAACTCGAAAGTTCTAGTGTTGAATCATCCAAATTGGAGATGTGAATGATCGCTAGCTCAACTTCTTCCTTCAGAAACGAAGTCTATCAGTGAGTACTTCCGCTCCCACTCCAAAGATACCACGACAGGGGGGAGCCCTGCCTTGACAGGAAATCATTCCGCCCACCCGGGAGTGGCTGTTCAGCCTGTGCAACCTGTCAAGGAGAGCGTGGAGAGGAAAGTTGTGGCGACCAAGAAACGGAAGGTCGTTGTCACGGGAATGGGGGTTGTGTCCTGCCTTGGACATGAGCCGGATGCTTTAAACGAGAATTTGCTCAGCGGCACGAGTGGAATAACAGAGATTGAGAAGTTCATAACTTTGAGATCACTATTGGGCCACTGCCTTCTCAATGCAGAGCAAGATACCCGCGCCTGCTTGAACACAAGAAATTATAAAAAAGAAGAAAATAAAAACGCATAAGCATAACAGGTTCTGTCATGTGATACGCATCGCAAGTCGAACTTCCGCCTAGAAACTCCGCATATATCTCAGCACCTCACCTCTGCATTGTTTAGATTGTTCACACTCCTCGACTGCCCATCACAAACGCGTATTGCCCCTGCCAATCCATTGCATCCAACGGGGGCGAAGCTCTTGTTGGTTCGTTGTTGCGCTGAGACAATGCCCTGCAGGCAACAAATCCTCAGTATAATGGATGAAGTTGAGCAGTGAGTTCACGCAGCAACGGTGGACACATAGTGTCCAGAATGACATACCAATAGGGATGATGGCTGCATCAGATCCACCAGCGATGTGCAGTAAGGTTTTCTATGATTGTGTCAAAAATATTCTAACTCGATCAACTCTCTCGCAATAGTTGCAGGCCGTCCCCATCCATCCCTGGTCAGAACATGAAATCCGTTAACTTTGTGTTTCGCAGAATCATTCTTAGCCGTGTTCATCCTCCTTGGCACTGGCCTCGTCGGCAGCACCAGTGCCTGTGTTGCACACTCTTCAAAGCCCTTCTCTTATTTCCCGTCAATGTTACAATTCTCCATGGATAACCACCCTATGGCGTGCTATTCGTAAACCGCATGAGGATATACCTATCATGGCCTCTTGGACGGAGCACAATTTTTTTTGTTGTTCCCACTTTAAGATAGAACATGCACCTGATTGCTATGAGCTGCATAAAATCTTCCCATACCACCACTTCCAAGATTCAAACTAGATCTTCTTACTGGAACCTGAGATGAGCCTATTTTAATTTTGATCGAGACATTGAGCATGCCATACGTTCCAGAGCTCAAGAATTACATTGGAGAGGGGGCAAATCGTTGGATCTGTATCAATGTGATCTAGAGCAAACTACTTTAATGGCTGTAGAGGCTTGTCACTACGTGGGAAGCGAGCACTCCCATGAAGAAGCACAGCAATTGCGTGCTCGAGCACTGGAAGGAATCTCTTGGTGGATCCGACCATGACTGTGACTAAGCTCTACGAGCCGGGCCTTCAGCCTGGCCGCGTTCACGTCCTGGTCGTTGTTCGTCTACGCATCCGGGTTTGTTGTCTTCGTGGTGCCCGAGATCAAAGGCAGAAGCCAAGCGAATTCATGCCGCGCTTCTAAGTTCCAAGATCTACAGCGCTCCTCAATCCCTGAGATGTGTGATCATTACTGGAGTTCTTTCGCATCTCAGGGCAGAAATTGACAAGGGTTAAGAGAGTATGCGAGTGAGAAACCCGTCTCCAAATCAAACACCCAGAGAAAAAGAATGTGAATGTCTGCCAGGTCTCAACATCCAGCGCAGCGACAAAGTGAAGAAAAAAAGTATCTATCTAGATCCTGAATGTTGATCCTCCGACTTACGTCCTCTCTTATACTGGCCTAAAACTAAGGAAAACGAGCACATTCTAACAGCCAACACGCTGCTCTATCATTTGACTCCTCCACCGACTGACACGGCTTCATGGCAGTAGTCTGCTTGTTTCTCGAAAGCCACAGCAGAGCAACACTAAGCATGAGTGATGCCGATCTCAAGGTCTTTAGAGAAGAGTGCAAGTGCTAGCTTGTTAGGCAAACTGACACTGCAAACTGGGACGGAGGAATGAAGCCACTGCTGACAAAGATACAAGAAGAATAGCTTTGCTGCGGCTAAGGAATGTCATACATAGTCAAAGTATTTTCTGGACGACTAATTCTACCACTACGTCTTACAATACGAAAGCTTTTTTTATGAGGAAGGTGCATTTATTCTTTTAGTAATTGTATTAATTAGTATAAATAATAATTAATAAGTTTTTATGAATTTAAATGGTATATAAAGTTAAAATTTATGATAAATGTTTTAATTATATATATATATATATATATATATATATATTAATACAATCATGTTTTTTTATAAACTATTATATACATTTTAATTAGAAACAATAACATTTTAAAAACATGACATTAATAAGATTAATAATGTTTTTTATTATATCTTAGAGTTAATTCTGAAACTTATTCAATTTCTATCTATAACGGTTCATTAAATGTTATTAATCAATGTGGGTATATAATACATATGGAAAACAGTATGATTAATGTAGTGCAAATGATAATACTCTTAAATATGATCACAGAGATAATGTTATAATTCATTTAAATAATTTATTAAAAATATATCATGCAACAATATGAAGTATATGAGTAACATTTATTACAATAGTAACTGATTACTGTGCAATTGAGTATATTATTAAAACTTTCATCAACCAAAAGCACTTAGAGAAAATCAAAATTCATAACCTTAAAGGATTTTAGAATATATATATATGACAACATGGATTAGTATTTTACCATATTATTATTTAAGAGCTTCACAATTTTAATTGTCTCCAAATAAAAAATCTCTCCATAATTGTATTTTATATTTATATGTCAGGCATAATTAAAATTGTCTAGAGGATGAGATAAATATAAAAATTGTGAATTTAATATTCAAATAAATGGAAATATAGTTTTATATATTAATAGTGATAAAAGTTTTTGGTTTCCAAATATTTTTTGTGGTACATTCGTTTATTTTTTATCTTTACAAAATGATTGTATCTTGGGTTTATATGAATTTAATCAAATAAACTTTTCTCAACATCCTTTCATTAAGGTAAGATTGTCACATATCCTTGTTAGCATTTAAATTTGAAATAAAACATATATTTTGTAAATAAATATAGTATAACAAAATACACTTATTTAAATTTATCCTTTTATAAGTGTACAAGGATTAACTAATTAAATTTTAAAATAAAGAGAATATTGATTTATTTTATTTTTATTATAAATAGAAAAAATTAACCTTCTGCCTAAATGACACAAAATATTCTCAAACATATTAATAATTATAACTTTCTATAAGTATTGTATTATCTTTATAATCTGCAAGTAGAAAATATTTAGACAGGAAATCACAACTATTATATTATGATATTTTATAAAAAAAAAAAAAAATTCTAGACAATACTACAAAATTGATAGATAGATAGCCGTTGCATCAGACACTAAGAGTAAAATTAATCTCAGTATTTCTATATTTTATATTATTTTAAAGCTACCAATAGTTATTACTAATCAACTTATAACCACGAAGTAGCTATAATATCTAGAATATGCCGTGCGTGCTTGCGTGCTTCTGTATGTCCCACTCAGTGTTTCTGATGCTTCCTGCCAATCAGTGCCGACTTTAAGTTTCTTTTTTCTTCTAATTCGGGAGTCAACTTGAAAAAGGATGCACAGACTTGTTGACAAGTGGGCTGATATAATGCTTAGTCCACCCAATGTGACATGTATTATGAAACTTTGGTTTGTCTATACATATTATAGACATCAATCAAACCAAAGCAAACAAGCACTGTCAATTATTCTATTGGAGTGACTTCTTGGCTATTGGATGTCAATGGTGTGGTGGCAGGATTCCTCGTCTTTGGAATGGGCTCTAAACTTGGCGGCGATTCCCAGCTGCTCCACCGTGTCCACAACATGTTTGAGCCTGGCCGTGGTTTCCAGGAGGAGGAACACAAAGGTGGCAAGCGAGAAGTTATTGGCACTTTCCATGTTGTAGTCGAATGTGCAAGTGAGAGGCCCACTGTGGGCAATGATCCTGTCTCTCTTGTCAAACTCGAATATAGGATCCTCCATGGGGGATGATGGTGTTAGGGGTCCACTCCAGGGAATAAAATTGTCAGTGTCGATGGCTATGGGCAGCCTGTGAGCCTTGCTTTTGATGATGGTGTCGCTCAATCTGATGTTCACGAATAGGGTTGAGTGGCGCTGGATGGATCTCTGGAGCTCGAATGCGGCCTGATTAACGTCGCTAAGCAGCTGGCTTGCGGGCTTGTTTTGCTGCATCCTCTTGAGATTGTTGCCTACTTCGGTGATTACTTTGTTGATCTCTTTGCTGACGGCGTAAATCTTCTTCTCGAAGCACCGCCTCAGCTCTATTGGTGCCTGATCATCAAAAGTTCAGACACTTTGTTAGTGGTTTTCTTTTCAAAAAGTGTGCTACACGTACTTTTGACTTTGATGTGAGGCAGCCATGCAATGCCATTGCTGTGTAGGAACAATGTCTAAGAGCTGTCCCAACTTTTATGTAGTGTCCCCACGGGTATTTTATGTTGAAGTCGCCGTGTGGAGGTTCCCAAGTTGCAAAGTTTGCCTGAAAGTATTCTATTTGTCAGCTTGGCTCATCAAAATCCTTTCGATAGCAAATCTTACAAGGGAGTCCTCGTGGCTCTTCGACGTGAAAAGAGAATTATACTTTTTGTATGTGGCATCGCTTACGTCAGTCACAAGCTTTTCTTCAGCTTTCGGATCAAAATACATCTCCACTGTTTCTGAGGAAACGTAATAGGATTAGATCTTATAACATGATTGAATAATTGTTAAGTTAGACTTGCCTTCTAGCGATTCAGCCAGTTTGGAGAAGTTTTTGGAGGTCAGTTCATGAAGCTCATCACCAGCCCAGATTGGATAAATAAATGTGGTTGTGAAAAGGGAGACAGAACAACCAACAGTTATCATGTACAATCGAGACGATGCAATCTCAACCGGATGCAGGCTGGAGTTTGTAGAGATCATGAGCAAGCTGAAAGTAAGAAGGAAAACAAGAAGTCCATAGTCATATCGGGCCTTCATTTTGGGGACAAACCGCAGAAACGTTGCCACCACTCCTATATACACAGCAAAACTTCCATGAGAAAAGTGCTGTTCATTTTAAAATCTTCTCCAAACTTACCAACAAAAAATATGGCAATGCAAGCAACTGCTTTGTAGCCTGCTGCGCCTCCAATTTCAGCTAATTGGCTGATACCAAGTACCAAAACTCCGGCAAAGAAAGTTCCAGTCACTCGATTGAGTCCTTTGCAGTAAGTTGCCCCTGGAAGAGAAAAACCATCAGTAATAACCCACTTCTCCAAAAGAAATTTTGTACCAGTTGTAAACTCAAAGATCACCACCACGGACATGATCGCCCAGATTCCATTGTGTCCCACAAAGTCCTCGGTGTGGATGAAAAGAGTGTATAGAGCGGTAATAATTAGCGCGAGCGCCACCTTGAATGCATGGATGATCTTCCTTCTATCGTTGGCGGCAATTGCACGGAGCTGCCCAAACGTAGAGCACACGGCACCGTATGCGTACGACACCACGTACGGAATCGCGCGCATCCAGCTGAGAATGACCCCAAACTTTTGGCTAGTGCTCCTAGCAAAGTGGTTCGTCACTGGGTCATTGTCCGTGCGTGCAAGCGTGACATCCTCGGGAAACACTCTTGAAGATCGTTCCGCTCGGGTGCTCATGCCTTGAAGTTCTTGTTGGTGACTTGGATTCGGAGGGAGTGGCGCTACAACGGCCGCGGGATGATCGTGGTCAAGTGATGGTATCATTTTGAGAGTTGCTAGAGAGTAAGTGCACGAAACATAAACCAGGTGGTGACGACTTTGGTGCCAGCCGGCCTTTGCATTGGCTCTGCATTCAAGAGCTGAAACAAGAGCTACTACTCATCATATTGCTCTAACTTCGCCCTACAAACTTGGAAATTCTGAAGAGAATTGTTTGCAACTGCTAAGGTTTATAAACAGCTCGGTCTAAACCCACAAGCTCATCAAACAAGTGTTCTCCAGATGAAATACAGCTGTGAATTCTTGCGCTGCCAGGGGAACTCCAGATGGATTTGGCACGCTGCCGAAAGTTTGAGTCGTCCGGTCTTTATATTCCAAGGATGTTGACACTGGCCCCATACTGCCGCTAGATTCGTTTGTGCACCTAAAATGCGAATTCAATGGTGGATCTATGGGATTGGACCAAGACATATGGATATACTTTCCTTGTAAAAGATTATTGTTTTCCTCATCATTAGTTAACCAGGTTATTAGATCAATAGTTTATTTAAGAGTTTTACTAGACAGCACCAGACTGTACATTATATTCCTAATGGATTTTAGTCCCATGAGCTCGGGAGATTACTGAGGCCACGAAAATGAGACATTGATTAAGGCCCATGCTTATCACTGGTCATAATCTTTCTTAGATAGCATTACACATTGTTTATGTTTCACTTATGGAGAACATTGAGTGTTTGTCTCCATCATGGGCAGCGATGGAATCTAGCGCATCTGGATTGCAAGGAGCAGAAATTTTTGACCACATACATGGTTGTTATTTGTGGTTGCCAACTTTATTTTCGATCTTGATTTATTTTTATCTATTATCTTTTTCTAGAGAGATGCTTCAGTGACCAGTACTTTACAGTACTCACCGGACGGTACTTCTGTCTCGCATGCAGGAACGAAAAATTATCCACGAATATGCTACAGTTTTAATGGCTGAAGCTAGCATTGCCTGCCACTTTGATTTCTTTTGCAAAATTTAAAGCAATGGCTGCGTTCCACTAGTGCATGCTTTAGGGCATGACGAAGTGGAAAGATGGTACCGCACGGGGTGAAAAGTGCTGCACTTCTCTTTTCACTGTCAAAGGTTTCAAAGATCTGTAATCTTGAAGTGGCAAGGAATTCTAACCAGACAAGTGGCTTACCTCTCAGGTAAGCTGAACTCAAAATACTCGAATTTATAGTTATAAAAGAATTACTTTGGTTTAAGTCAAATTCATTTTTAATTAAAATATGTAAAAGAAAATACCTTTTTAATTATTAATACCTCAATTGGTTGTTTGATCTTATCAGGACTTATCAAGTTTACTATTTCAATGGAACTGGTAGCGGCTAGCAGCGAAGTTCCACTCCAGCTAGGGATGGAGAACCTAGAGAATCAATGTGTGGGAATTTCCCGGTACGTGAGCTTGATAAAGCACTGTGCGCAATCCAAATCCCTAGCAGAAGGCAAGTGCATCCATCAACAAGTGAGAACATTGGATCTTGAGGGAAACTTGTCCATTGGCAGCAGTCTTTTGAAAATGTATCTTCAGTGTGGGAGTTTGGATGGTGCTCGAGTAGCATTTACCAGGATGGATCTAACTGAACCAGAGAGCTGGAATGCGGCAATCGCAGCTTTTGCCCAAGAGGGGCATTACTCAGAAGCTATGAAAGTCTTTGAGAGAATGAAGGAGCTGGGATCTGTGGCTCCAAACAGCATCACCATCGTTACTGTTCTCAATGTTCTCAAGCTTCTTCCTCTGGATTTTAAGTCGCTGGCCATTGCCCGGGAGATCCACACGACAATCCTTGCGAAAAAGAAGGAGATGGATGCTTGTGTGGCGACTTCGCTCATGAGCTTGTACGGGAGATTTGGCTGTTTGCCGGAGGCCGAGTCAATCTTCCAGAGTTTGGGTTTTAAAGATCGTGTCTCTTGGAGCGTGATGATCTCAGCATATGCTCATAATGGTCGCAAGGATTTGGCGCTGGGATTCTTCCGAGAGATGCAGTTTGAGGGGATGAAGCCAAACCAGATTGTTTTCGTGAATGTTCTCAATGCTTTGGGTTCTCCAGGGGATCTTCTAGATGGCGAGAGGATTCACTCGTTGGTGATTCAAGCGGGAATGCAAAACAAGGTGATCCTTGCCACAGCGCTGATCACCATGTATGGAAGATGTGGATCTCCAGCAGCATCAATCCGTGTGTTCAGAAGAACAAATCCCAAAGACTTGATCTTGTGGAACTCCATGATCGGGGCCTATGCTCACAACGGGGAGTTTGAGAAATCCATGAGAATCTTCCACCAGCTTCTCAAAGCTGCTCCAAACCGGGTCACCTTTCTCACACTCCTGGGAGGACTTGGCACGTCCAACGAAAACGCCCGCCATGCAAAGGTGGTGGAGCGCGAGATTACGTCCCGCGGGCTGGGTACGGACGCCGTGGTGGCAACCGCGCTGGTGAGCGCGTACGGCAAGTGTGGCCACGCCGGTGAGGCGCGCAGAATATTCGACGGCATCGAGCCCAGGAATGTGGTCTCCTGGAACTCCATGATCTCGGCCTACGCCCACAGCCATCGGCATGAGCTCGCGCTAGATCTCTACCATCGGATGCTCCACGAGGGCGTGAATCCAACGGTGGTCACGTTCGTGGCGGCGCTGGGCGCTTGCTCGGAGCTTGCCGACGTGGCGGAGGGCGGGAAGATTATCTCCTGCGTGACCGATTCCGGGTTCGAGCTCGACCACGTCCTCGGTACGGCTGTGGTGGACATGTACGGCAAGTGTGGAAACTTACGTCGAGCTCGCGAGATCTTCGATGGGATGAAGAAGAAAGACGTGGTTGTGTGGAGCGCTCTCGCGGCCGCTTACTCCCACCACGGGACCGATCGATCGCAGCTCCACACTGCTCTCAAAGTCTTCCACTGGATGCAGCAAGAGGGCGTTCGTCCTGGCAGCGTAGCGTTTCTCGGAGTTCTCTCGGCGTGTAGAAACGCCGGGCTTGTGGATCAAGGCTGCGCGTACTTCTCGTCGATCACTTCCGACCATGGACTGGAAGTTACCAGCGAGCAGCTTGGGTGTGTGGTGGATCTTCTGGGACGAGCTGGATGGCTGGCGGAGGCGGAGGCGTTGGCGGCGAGGATGGCTGGGGGAGGAGATAGCTGCGCTTGGATGATGCTGCTGGGAGCGTGCAGGGATGGCCGGGATGTGGAGAGAGCGAAACGGGCAGCCGAGAGAGTTTTGGAGCGGGATCCGAAGAATGCAATGGCTTACGTGATGTTGTCACAGGTGTATGCTGCCGAGGGGAGGATGGACGATGCCAGGAGCGTGAGAAGAATGATGGAGGAGAGGGGGATTCATATTAGCAGGAGCAAAACGGAGGAGTTTACCTCGCTACAGGCTTTCTTCCAGTAATGACTGCGAATTTGATAAGACCGCTTTTGTAGCCTTGTATCATGTAAGTCATTGCAAAGGCTCCTCGGATTGTTGTCCAGCCTGAAAGCTTTTGTTAGGCATGAAAGCTTGGAAACGAGAAGTTTACACAACCTGATCTTAGAAGGCCGAAAAGCGCTTTCGGGTTGAGTGCTGAAGCGATCACTGCCGGCCAGAATGGACTCACATACACGGACCAATCCTCGGCTCTAACATCCTGTGAAAAGCGTCAGTCTTTGGTGCTTACAAAGGAGCATTAAATTCACCTCCAGCTGCAGTTCTTTTGCAAGCTCCACATAGTCGAAAGCCGAGCACCACGCTGGTAAGTAGTACGCGCTGCAAATCTTGTCCAAGAGCTCCTGAGCGTGTTATAACGGGATGAAACAAAAAGAACATACAGAACGACACAAGAACCTGCTCTTCTTTTCGGAGGGACGACTCTTCGGGAGAAAGATCTCTGTGGCACCATGTAACAATTAGCAGACGACCACCAGGAGCAGCCACTCTCACCAATTCTTGCATGAACTAAGGAACGCTACTGTCAGCATCTGAGGAGCTTCCAGTACCAAATGGAGCTTACTTTCCGCTTGTCTGGCATATGCTCCCCGCTCTCCATCGACCACACGAGATCAAATTCGTTGTCTGGAAACGGCTGGTTCAAAGCATCCGCGACTTGAAACGACACCTGAAATCCAGAGAAGAAAACACTCAAGTCAGTTCACTATATTTCATACAAGCCAACGAAACCTTTTCCCCAAGTCCTGCTTCGGCTGTGATATTGTTTGCTCTTTGAGCTTGCACGGGACTAAGCGTGATCCCTCTGACCATTGCCGAATACTTCCTGGACAAATGTCGAGCACTGCCTCCAATCCCACAACCAACGTCCACAATTTTCTTCGGTTTCTCTTCGTCAGCTACCAAGAAATAGGAAAAAACAAAAGCAAAGACTCAAAAGAAAGAAAGAAAAGACTCGGGCGATCAAGATCCAGGAACAAACATAACATCCAGCAACGAACACAACAAGTTAAAATCACATAACCACAGGTAGTCCAAGAAAAAAAACAAAAACATAGAACACACACACACACACACACTCACAAATGCTCAAGCGTGAAAGCTCTTACCTGGAATGCCGGCCCACGCCAAGGCCTCCTCGATCATTCTCACCTGTGCCGCCCTGTGATCGCCTTTGAGCGGCTTCCCGGGATCGTAGAATCCGTGGTGCATATGCTCGCCCCACACATCCTCCCACACACTAGACGAGGAATCGTAGAACCTGGCAATGCCGCGATTGAGCTCCTCCGGCACTGGCGGCCCCTTGCTCGTGACCGCCGTCATTGCCGCTCCCGTGGAATCAGATCCAGCGGCCGAAATCTTGTGCTGCGACAGCGGCATCGATCGAAATCCCCACAGCCATGGCGTTGGCCGGCTAGAGCAGGAATGCGCGGTCGCGGCCCCAGGGCAAGAGGAAGCCATAGCTGTGACGTCCCCCCAAAATCACTTATAAAGAGAGGATAAAAGTTAACCCGTGAGCAAAGATCCATGGTCACGAGAAACCCGGAAGCCCTAGATGCGATAGAAGATTCTTCCAGTTTAAATTTTAGGGCTCGTTCAACTCTAGATGCGAGAGAAGATTCTTCCGGTTTGAATTTTAGGGCTTCTCGCAGTAGACGTTCCTGAGCAAGACGTAGGTCGCGGCGCCTTTGCGGTCCAGATCGAGCGCGCACTGCGCGGCCCGGGCGGCCGCATCGACGTTCTTGTGGTTGTTGCAAGCGCCCATGAAGCAGATCCAGTCCTTGGCGATGGGCTCAAAGGGCATTTGGAGGATGAGATCCTCGGCGGCCCACAAATGCCCCGCGCGGCCCAGCGTGTCGATCACGCACCCGAATTGCTGCTTGGAGGCGCTCAATCCGTGGTCGAAGATCATCGAGTAGAAGAAGGAGTGGGCGATCTTGACGTTGCCTTTGTGGATGCAGCTGAGGAGAACGCAGGTGAATGCGGCCTCGTCCGGAGAGAAGCCCTCGATTCTCATCTGCCCAAACAGCTCCCAAGCAAATCGCGGCAAACCACAATTGGAGTACATCGCGAGCATCACAACCCACGAAGCCACACTCTGCTCTGGGCTCGAATTGAAAAGAAATTTTGCTCGGAGAATCTGGCCGTTCTGAGCGAGCGCCGAGAGCATCGAGTTCCAGGACACAACGTCCCGTGACGGCATGGAGTAAAATATTCTCTTCGATTCTAAAAGATGCCCGTTTTGGGCATATGCTGCGAGCCTAGCGGTCCACGAGATCTGGTTCTTCTCGGGCATCTTTTCAAATATTCCTTCCGCATCTATAAGCTTGTCGCTAAGAGCGTACGCCGAAAGCATTGAGTTCCACGAGACGCGATCGTGAAAGGGCATTGTGTCGAATATAAACTTAGATTCTTCCAGATACCCGTTTTGGGCATATGATGCGAGCATCGCGTTCCAAGAGACAAGGTTGCGGCAGGGCATATCATCAAATATCTGTTTAGACTTGGAAAGATTATGGTTCTGAGAATATGCCGAGAGCATCGCGGTCCAAGATACCACGTCCCTCTCTGGCATCCGGTCAAAGAGAGCTTTAGATTCCTCCAGATGCCCTCGCTTGGCATGCGCTGTAAGCTTTGCATTCCATGACACGAGATTCCTACACGGCATTTTCACAAACAATGATTTGACCTCATTAAGATTCCCAGTTTGCGCAGTTGAAAAGAGAATTGTATTCCAGGAGATCAAATCCCTCTCAGGCATAGAATCAAACAGAATCTTCGTTTGATCCACTTGCCCCATTTGAGCGTGTGCTGCGATGATAGAATTCCACGAAGAAAGGCTTCGCTCGGGCATGGTGTCGAATATTCGCCTTGCTTCGTTTAGATCCCCGTCTTGGGAGAAAGCCGTTAACATCACATTGAGAGAAAGAACGTTGTGCCCGGGCATGGAATCAAACACGCGCCTGGCCTCGTCCAAATGCCGCGTTTGGGCAAATACGCAAAGCAAGGTGTTCCATGTTATAAAATTTGGCTGGGGCATCTTCACGAACGTGGAGAGGGCATCCTGGAGATTCCCCGCCTTGGCTATAGCGGCGATCAGGGTGTTCCAGGAGACCTCGTTTCTCTCCGCCATGGCTTCGAAGATCGAGCGCGCGGCGGCTAGGTTGCCATTGTAGGCGTAGGCGGCGAGCATGAGATTCCAGGGGAAGATGTCCTTGGTGGGGATGGAATCGAAGACGGCGCGCGCGGATTCTGGATCGCCGCAGTTGCCATACATCTCGACGAGCAGGTTGGAGAGGTAGAGGCTGCGCTCCGGCGATTGGCGCTGGTGCTGGGCGATGAGCGCGTGGATGCGCGGCGCGACCGCGCTGCTGCGGCAGGATTTCGCGATCAAGCAGCATTCTTTGAGGTCCATGGGATTTCCATCAAGAAGGTCGGTCAGGGTTTTGGGGGCGCGTCTATCTTGATCGCGATGCGATCGATCAATGGGGCAGGCATCTAGATCGAATGCCGTCTTTCTCGATCGATCGGGTGAAATTTCACTACCAGGTGATGGATGAGTCGCAAGAACAGGTGTAGAGATCTTGGGATTGAGACGAGTCACTGGGGAATAAGAGATTACTTCGCGAGATGGGGCTTTGCGAGAATTTCCATTTCCAGGAGAGATGATCCAGCCGAGAGAATCGTCCAGCATTTATGGAAGTTCTTCAATAGGGGACGTAACCACGAAAAGGACCGGGGAATATCCTTTTGGCGGATCAAAGCTACACATCACTAGGCATGTTTCACGACTCATCAGCACAGAGAGCGTGATCGAGATTTTAAAGACGCGACTGCCAAGAAGGGATTGAGCTGCCTAGTTGCCACTACTAGGTGTTCTTCCGGGGTTGGCGATCATGGCACTGGGGAACGGTGTTTTGGGTGTTCTCAAGGAAGAGAAGAATAAGTGGGAGAGGAGAGCTCCGCTCACGCCGACACACTGTGGAAGGCTGCTGCGAAGTGGAGCTGTGGAGAGAATCATCGTCCAGCCATGCAGCAAGCGGATTCACAGAGACTACGAGTATGAGGACGCTGGCTGCGAGGTCTCGGAGGACTTATCTCAATGTGGTCTTATTCTGGGGGTCAAGCAACCCAAGGTCTGTGTGTTGGATTCTTTCGTTTTTCATTGTTGCTTGCTTTTCTCTGTCTTGCAGCTTGGCACTCTGCTGGAAGACAGGGCTTATGGATTTTTTTCTCACACCCACAAAGCACAGCCTCAAAACATGCCTCTCCTGGACGAGGTAAGCGAGAAAACGAGCTTGTATATTCAATCTGGCTATCCATTTCTCGTGGTCAGGTGCTTGGAAAGCGTGTTTTACTCTACGACTATGAGCTTATTGTCGACGATCATGGTAAACGACTTGTTGCGTTTGGGGAGTACGCTGGAAGAGCCGGAATGATTGATTTTTTTCGGGGGCTTGGTGAAAGTAAGCCGTTTGATTTTGTGTTGTTTACAGAAGATTGATGATTGAAATTTGTAGGACTTTTGAGCCTCGGGTACTCAACGCCGTTTGTTTCGTTGGGGTCCTCGTATATGTACATGTCATTGAGTGCGGCTAAAGCTGCAGTGCTCATGGTCGGGGATGCCATTTCAAGCAGTGGTCTTCCACAGGAATTGTGTCCGCTGGTGTTTGTATTTACCGGTTCTGGAAATGGTAAGACTTTTCTTTGTGTACATGGTAACAGATTTTTCGTTCTTTTTGCCAGTTTCACGAGGTGCTCAGGAGATTTTGAATCTTCTTCCGCATGAGTATGTGCACCCTTCCCAACTTAAGGTTTGGTGAACAGTTATGTTAGGAAAAAAACCATTTACCGTTCATCTGTGTGTCTGTGTCATAAGGATCTGTCAAACCGACGGATAAGCAACCGAAAAGTTTATGCTTCTGTAGTTACTGCGGAGCATATGGTGATACCGAACAACCCCGGGAAACAGTTTAACAAAGTCAGTTTTCATGTGCGTATTCTGTTGCTAAAATTTCAGTTGCAGGCTGATTACTATGCACATCCCGAGGATTATCATTCAACATTCCACGAGACAATAGCCCCATTTGCGTCTGTGATTGGTAATATTTTCTAGAAAAACCTAGAAACCTCAATGCTGATACTTTTATTTTCATCATTTTGCAGTGAATTGTATGTACTGGGAGCATCGATATCCGCAGCTTCTGACCAACAATCAGTTGCAAGACATGTTTGATAAGCATGCTTCAGAATGTAGGCTATTGGGAGTCTGTGACATAACTTGCGACGTTGAAGGTTCAATCGAGTGCCTTAAATCAACGACGTGCATCGAGCAACCATATTTCAGGCACATTTTTTTTAAAAAATTTTTTTAATTGACGTGATTTACTTTCTCCTTGGATCGCAGATACAATCCTGTTACACGTTCGCATCACACGGACCTGGATGGTGAGGGATTACTATTCTTGGCTGTCGACATTCTTCCCACTGAATTTGCAAAAGAGGTACACAGGTCTTCACGTGTTTTTAGATTGTTATTATAATCATGCAACAGGCCACCGCGCATTTTGGGAATGTGTTGCAACCTTTTATCAGCACAATGGCACGGTGTAAGAATCCCATGGAGGCCGTATCGCCGCTGAGACGAGCATGCATTGCTCACAGTGGCCACCTTAGCCAATTGTTCGACTACATCCAGCGTATTCGAAATTCTGAAGCTCGGTAAGTTTTCTTACTTTTTTCTCAATGTCGCTGTTTCACTTTTAAGTGATCATGCAGGCTGATGAACGGCACAAGCACATTCACAACGAAGGTAAAAAGCATGACTTAAGAAAATCTAAACAGATGTTTTCTAAAACCAGGTGTCACTTAGTGGTCATCTGTTTGACAAGTTTCTGATAAACGAAGCTTTGGACGTGATTGAAGCAGCTGGAGGCAAATTCCAAATTGCGACGTGCCAGATTGGTCAAACGTGTGATGCCATTTCTTATGCAGAGATTGAAGTACGTATGCTTTTTCTCCTGTGAACATATAAGATTTTTGCATTCCAGGTTGCAGCAGAATCAGAAGAGAACTTAAGCCGCATTGTGGACGCTTTATCTACGATGGCAACGGGTTCTACAGGAGAGAATCATTGTTCTGAAAAAGCTTCAGTTGTTTCAGAATATACGAACATTCTTATTCTCGGAGCCGGGAGAATGTGTGAGCCTACATTGATGTACCTCACTGAAAATGCGTTCGAGGACTACGCTGATACGTCAAAGCCGCCCAAGCAAGTTTTTGTTCACGTTGGATCGTTGTATCTTGAAGACGCATCCAAGGTATGCTTGTCAAGAAGGGAATATATCTTTCCAACTTCTTATTTTCTAATGTATCAGGTGGTTGAGGGTGTCGAAAACGCTCTAGCAATACAGATTGACGTAATGGATGAGCAACAGCTAAAGAGTCAAGTACAAAAGGTTTTTCCCGGTTTTCATCTTTTTACCTTCCAAAGAAATAATCATATTGCTTTTCCTCCAGGTTGAAGTTGTGATCAGTTTACTGCCTCCAAGTTTCCACGAGAGAGTCGCGGTTGCCTGCATTGAAGTAAACTGTTCTTCTCTTTTCTTTTATCCATTTTCACTAATCTTTCTATTCTAGTTAAAAAAGCACCTGGTGACAGCAAGCTATGTAAGCAAAGATATGGCTCTTCTTGATTCAAGAGCTCAAGCGGCAGGAGTGACATTACTTTGCGAGATGGGGTTGGATCCAGGAATCGGTTCGTATGACGACTTGTGTCTTGTTTTCTAAATGCTTCTTTTGTTTGTCTAGACCACATGATGGCAATGAAAATGATAGATGCATCTCATGAAAGAGGAGACAAAGTTCGCGTGTTTGAATCGTACTGTGGGGGGCTTCCATCACCTGAAGCTGCCAATAATCCTTTAGCATACAAGTTCAGGTACTTCAATGTGTCATCTTTTTTGTCTGCCTCACAAGGAGATATGTCGTGTAGCTGGAACCCGACCGGAGCTATCAAGGCAGGAAGGAATGCTGCTACCTACAAGCACGAAAACAAAATCATCAGAGTCCCCGGTGAGTTCCCTTTCTCCCGGCGCTTTTCTTTTGACGAGTAGCTTTTCTTTCCAGGCGAACGTCTTTTCGGCGCTGCTGTTTCTTTTAGAATTCCGCAGTACCCAGCTTATGCTCTGGAAGTGCTACCGAACAGGGACTCCTTAATGTATGGTGACTTGTATGGCATCTCCCAGGAAGCTGCGACAATTTTCAGAGGGACTTTACGCTATGAAGGTGAACAGCGTTATTTCTATTTGAACATTTGTCACTTTCGGCCTTTGTAGGATTTGGTCAGATAATGGACACTTTGGGGAAGCTAGGATATTACAATTCTGACAATCATCCGCTCTTGGCTTCTTCAACGGAAACTACATATGCTGCAGTTCTCGAAGCATTGATTCTGCAACTGTCAACCAGTTACAATGGTTTATGTGCGGAGGAGCTTGCTCGTATCATCTCCTCGGACAACTTGGATGTGGCGAAGCGCGTGCTAAGCTGCATAAGGTTGCATATGCTACTCTATCTTAACAACGTAATAATGTAAGTACTAATGCTGATATTTACAGGTTTCTGGGGTTGGACTCCCAAGAAATAGTTCCAAGGTCATGCAAATCAGCTTTCGAGGTTCTCTGCTCGCGAATGGAAGAAAAACTTGTCTTCCGTGCTAATGAACAGGTATTTGTATACCAGTTGTTGTTTTGGTTGAACCTTTGTTTTTAATCTTATGCAGGATCTAGTTCTTTTGCATCATGAACTGGAGGTAGTGTACGAAGACTCGAGATCAGCTGAAAGACACTCGGCAACTTTAGTTGCTGTTGGAGAGAGTTGTAATCAGCTTAAAAACGAGTCACGTAGGCCGCATTCTGCAATGGCTCGAACAGTTGGTCTCACGGTAGCCATAGGTGCCGAGGTAAAGTTGAGGCTAGCAACGTCTCTCTCTAACAGGCTCGCTTTGCAGCTACTGTTTACTGGCAGACTTAAGTCCAGGGGAGTCATTCGTCCACTTCAACCAGAAGTCTATGTTCCAGGTATGTCTTACGATTTTGTCGAGACAAACTAGAGCCTAACACAAGGATGAAGGTTTGGAGATTCTAGGAAAGCTTGGTCTGGGAGTTGTAGAAAGCGTCGTTTGAAACGAGCAGGTGGCATTATTTTATATTTGAAAACTTCTCACGCTTTCCTGATACGTATCTGATCCAGGAATCGCTGGGTGTTGGCAAAAACAATAGAGTGAGGTATGTGTGCCTATCTTGCTCTCTCTGTCAGGATTTTGACTCCCACATACCTGCATAGATACAGTATCTTATCTCACCATAAATCCAAAGCGTTCTCACCTTCCGAGCATCAAAATCGTAGCTTGCGGAATTGTTCCCGGCGAGTATTTGAACGTAGAGCCATCCACCACTCTGAGTCCTTTAATTCCCAGAACTCTATAGTCCGAGTCCACAACCTGTTAACTAAGCAGCCACCGTGGTAGTGCCATATGGTCGTCAAGTGTTCTCTGCAGTAGTTGGCTATGGTGGTGTTTATGGTAGCGGCAAAAGCTGGATTTCTCCTGTTAGGTGCTCCAACAGTCCCTCCCGATGGTAGAGTCTGGTTATCATAGACAAAAGGCCTGAAAGAGTTTGCGAGTATTACCTCCTCGATCGTGTTCACCCCTGCAATGCAAGCTTGCAAGTCTCGAGGGTGTTGGAAGTAGTTGAAAGTTACTAACGGATTGTCTCGTACGTGTTTGGATTGCAGAACGAGCGTCCCGGAAGACAAAGGCCCTGCGACTTTCTCAATTATGTTCCCGGCTCGAGCTCCTGGCACTCCCGTCACGGCAACACCGCAGGCAGCTTCGATAAAATTCCCGAACGGTGCAGTGATCCCCACGACTTGCGCGAGTGCCGACTCCACTGGCGAAGGTGAGACTATGTTTACGAGGGCTGCTGGATTGTCACTGACTTGCTTTCCAACTCCAGGCAAGTTGTAAACTACCTTGATCCCCATTGCCGTCAGCTGGTTTGCTGGCCCAACTCCACTCAACAAAAGTAACTGTGGACTTCCTGGTGTACCTGCGCAGAGAATCACTTCGCCCTGGAGATTTTTCAGCAAGGTGGTCCGTGTTCTCCCGAGAGGATCGCTGTACTTGACTCCATAACTTCGATCTCCTGCCAAGAGAAAATCCCCAGATCATCTTGCCAGAGGTACGTGTTTGAAACTTCACCTCTGAAGAGAATGAGCTCGACTTGTGCATGCAGCAGGATGTCGAGGTTGCGCGGATTGGCATAAACGAGTAAATTTGAAGCCGGCCTCCGCGTTCCCTGGTCATCAAAGATCGTTCCTCCGGTCTGGGTCCCGACTTGGAAGTCGTAACTGGCACCGTTATCAGGAGTGACTCCGGCCTTGATGAGTGGCGAGCCTCCTCTCTCGAGCAAAAGGACTCTAAATTTTTGGGAGAGCGTTGCTGCTAGCGGACACCCTGCGGTGCCACCTCCGACGACAATATAATCATAGAGCTGTGGATGGAATTTTGAATCTGTAGCTTCGTGCATGGGTGGAAGATTCTGTGCTGAAAATCCAAAAAAGAAAGCAAAATAAAAGTTAGTGAAACAAAAAGTTCTTTTTCCTTACTTTTGCATGCACTAAGAAGACAAGGAGCTAGGATCAAAGCCAGGAACGCCATTTGTTTCTTTTGTCTTTGTTTTTTCAGTGTTAGCATTGTATTTTATCTATCTTCGGTGCAAGTTGGCTACAACGTTGGTAGAAATCAGATTATTTTATTGCTTTATTTGTCTTAACTTTTTCTTCATTTTTCCTCCTACTGGTTTAGTGTGTTCTGATCTCCATGGAAACACATATCATTTATTTTTATTTAGCAAAACTGTGACTCAAGAATTAACCCGAAACACATTGTAAGCAAAACAATAAAAAATGAGAAGAAAAACTTACAAATTTATAAATTAAATCCTCAGTCAAGAGTAAGATGAGAGAAATAGGATCCTAGGAAATTCACTTAGAACACTTTAAATAACACACTTATAATATTTTTGCTATAAACATCCAAGCCATCATCTCCTCTTATTTATTCCATCAGATTCTATAGTTTTCATAGCGAAGGTAGCATGCAGCTTTGCAGTAAGAAGATTTGCATGCTTCCGTATCTACATATCTTAGCCAATTGGTAAATGGCCTAAACCTGAGTCTAACTTGTCAAGCCTGAAAGTATTTCTAGATTAAATATAAAATTAAATAATAATAATAATAATAATAATAAATAAAGTAAATTAAAAATTTTAAAGTAAAAGAAAAAATAATATTAAAAAAGAATAAATTGTTCTATGCTAAAATAATTAAAAAATTGAATTTATAAAGTTATCTGAATAGTGTTTGAAATCATTTTTATTGACTCCACACCAAATCAAACTAGAAATCATCATACCACTCAAAACCAGCTCAAATTACCACTCCTCAATATATTTATGAATTATGATCAATCTTGTGTCAATATCTATAATGAAATTACCCACACTACTAGTATCTTTATGTATCTCTATGGAACTATGCTAACTTCATTTAAATAGAATGCCAATCATAATTGCATAGAAAAAACCTAAATAAATATTAATATTATTTGTGAGGGCCAAGTGTACGGCTACGATGCCGTATACTAATATTAGCGTAGTGGATTTTGGTAGCCGTCGGATTGGTTTCAATCCGGACCACTCGCTCCTGTATATAAGCTAGGGTTTTTGGGCTAATGGATATGCACATTTCTGTATTCCCTTTCCATATTCCATGCACTCACATTGGTGGAGGTGAGGGGCACCTTTGATTGTCCCTGGGGAGTGTTTGGATTTGGGATTTTGGTTTAGATCTAGCTTTTGCATTGTCTAGATCTAGCTTTTTCCATTTCCTTTCTTTTGTTCTTTCCTTTCAGGATTTTGGTTTAGATCTAGCTTTTTGCATTGTCTAGATCTACCATTTCTTTCCAGCTTTTTGTCATTTCTCTTCTTTTGCTCTTTCTTTTTCATTCATCTTCATGGCCGATCCGCAATCTCCTCCTTTAACTCTAGAGCAGCAGTTGGTTCAATTGCTTGATGCTATGCGCTTGCAATTGAACAATCAAACTCAGTTGATGGCGGCGTTCACGGCACATGGTACAACTCCTCCTGCTTTTGGTGCCAATCCTCGCGTTCGGCCGGAGTTCTTTTGTGGGAATCCTGGGGATGATGTGTACCATTGGTTCGATCACTTCACGGTGATTGCCACATATCATTCTTGGGATGATGCTCGACATTTGCGTGAGTTCCCCACATGTCTCCAAGGGACGGCATTGCAGTGGTACAATGGATTGAGCACAGCTACTTGTGGCAATTGGAGTGTTCTTCCGGATGTCTTCAAACGCGCTTTTGGACACGCCAACGATTGGGATGATGCCTTCCAACAATTGCATCATCTTCGCCAAGGGCCATCTGAGTCGGTGATGCAATTTGGCGTTCGTTTCCGAAGTCTTTTGCTTTGTGCGGAGCCAAATATGTCGGAGCGGATCAAGCTAGGGATGCTGTGGCCAGCACTTCATCAAGATCTTGTCGGACTTGTGCATGCACTTGCTCCTGCCACTCTTGACGATGCTCTTCGCTTGGCACAACGTTATGAGACGTCGCCTCTTCCACTTCTTGCTACACGTCCTTCAGCTCCACTTCCTATGAGTGATGGTCCTGTTCCCATGGAGGTTGATGCTGCTGCTACTCGAGTCCAAGGACAAGGGCAAGGACGTGGTCGTGGCCGTGACGTTCGTTGCTGGGCGTGTGATGAAGTTGGTCATACTTATCGGCGTTGTCGGCGCTTTCCGGATTGGCGACCTCCATTTCCTGGGTGGAGACCTTGGCGTCAGCAACGTCCCGTTGGTGCTGCTGCGGTGGAAGGTTTGGATCCCGAGGTGCATTCGGGAAACGAGGAGTCGCGCGAGTAATGGAGGGACCTTGCGCGAATAAGTTAGTGACCCCTCCATCTTTCTTTCGGGAGTATCATCAAGGGGTTCACTCGGCACCGGTTCATCTAGTGTTTACTTTCCAAGCTCGTTTTTATAACAAGAGGTCTCCTATTCTTCTCTCCGTGTTGGTTGATACAGGTTCGAGTTTATCTTCTATTGCTCGACCTGTTGCCACACGTTGTCGTCTACACTTGCGTCGTGCGGTGGATCCAGTTTTCATTCTTTACGGCAACGGCCGTACACATGCATGTGCACGAGATGAGGCGGACCTGGTTGTGCGTGTGGGCGATCTCGAGCTTGAGTTGCAGTCGTTGCGAGTGGTGCCGAGTCAAGCTTTTGACCTCATTCTTGGTATGGATTGGTTGCAGCACAATCATGCCAAGTGTGACTTTGAGGCTTCTCCCCCTTGTCTCATACTTCCTTATGTTTCATCCATTCCTCTCACTTCCGTACCTCTTCGTCCCTCTACTTCTACCTCTGCTTCTATTACTTTTGTTCCCCCACTATTTCCTCTTGTGTTTCCATCTTGTTCTACTCTTCCATTTTCCGATCCCTCCGATGATCTTTGTGTTGCAGTTGTTGACCAGCTCATGAAGGAGTATTCTGATCTCTTTGAATTTGACCTATCGTCTGGGGCCAAGATTGCCACACGTCATCCCATTCCAACCGGGGATGCTCGTCCAATCAAGGTTCCTGTTCGTCATCGGTCACCCAAGGAGATCAAGATTTTATGTGCAAACGTTAAGGAGATGTTGGAGAAGGGTGTTATTCGGAAGTCGCGGAGTCCTTGGGCATGTGAACCTCATCTTGTGACGAAGCCTGATGGGAGTATTCGTTTCTGTATCGACTATCGTCCGTTAAATGAAGTGACGATCCCGGACGTGTACCCTCTTCCTCACACTGCTGATCTCTTGGATCGTCTGGGGCGAAGTCTTTGGTTCACCAAGCTAGATCTTGCTTCTGGGTATTGGCAAGTACCGATGGCCGAAGAAGATATTCCTAAGACTGCTTTTCGTACACCATTTGGTTTGTACGAGTTTTTGGTGATGCCGTTTGGTTTGAACAATGCTCCAGCAACTTTTCAGCGGATGATGGACGAGGTTCTTTGCGATATGCCGGAGGTGACGGCTGACTTCATTGATGATGTCTTGATCCACTCGGAGGGGACGTGGGAGGAGCATGTTCGTGATGTTTGTAAAGTGTTAGATCGGCTACGCGACGTTGGTTTAAAGCTGAAGCGGTCGAAGTGCGTGTTTGGGTCCAAGGACACAACTTATCTTGGGTACTGTATTTCTCGTGAGGGTTTGCAAGTTGATCCTGACAAACTTGTGGCTGTTTTAAAGTTCCCTACTCCGAAGTGTGTGAATGATGTGCAGCGCTTTTTGGGGAAGGTGCAGTATCTTGGTCGTTTTGTGGATCATCTTTCCGATCGCACTACACCATTGCGAGCGTTGCTGAAGCCACCAACGTCATCTTTCATCTGGTCTCCCGATTGTGAGCGGGCGTTCGTGAATCTCAAAGAGCTATTGACGACTCCTCCGGTTTTGGCATATCCTGACTACACTCGACCTTTTATTTTGCGCGTGGATGCTTCTGACATTGGTCTTGGAGGTGTGTTGATGCAAAAGAGCTCGAGTGTGCCTGGTCAGCGCCATCCCATTGCATACATAAGCCGTACATTACAACCAGCAGAGATGAACTACTCCACGACGGAGAAGGAGTGTTTAGCAGCAGTCTGGGGTTTCGAGAAACTTCATGCATATCTACATGGTTCTCGGACGTTACTTGAAGGTGACCATGCTGCTGTTACTTCATTATTGAAGCGGAAGAACCTGGTTGGTCGTACGGCTCGATGGGCTTTGAAGCTTCAGATATATGATTTCGATGTTGTTCATCGCCCAGGGAGTTCTATGGCTGATGCTGATGCCCTTTCTCAAGCTCCTCTTCCTTCTCCACTCACTTCTCATGTTTCTGACGAACCTGTTGTTCCAGCATCTGTGGATTTTCTAGATGAGGATTCTATGCCGTCGGCAGTTGCTGTCCTTGACGTTCAGTGTCCACAGGGCGTAGAGCAAGATCTACCTTCTCTTGATGAGGTTCGCGAGGCTCAAAAGATTGAGCCGTGGATTCGAAGGCTTCGAGATGGGTTTGAGAATCCTGCATCACTTGCTGATGACTTGCCTTTTCGGCATTTACATTCTCAATATCGCCTTGAAGATGGCCTTCTTTATTTTGTGGGGACGGATCCTGCTGATCATTTACGGCTGGTGGTGCCTTCGGTGTTTATTCCGCGGTTTCTCCATACCTACCATGATTCTCCTATTCTAGGTGGGCATATGGGACACCGTCGTGTCATCGAGAAGCTGCGCAGATCTTTCATGCAACGTGATATTATCTGGTATGTGCGTAGCTACGTTTGGTGCCAAGCTCGTAATACTCCCCCTTGTGTTGCGGAAGGACGGTTGGAGTCAATTGCAGTTTCTCATGGCGTTTGATCTTATGGGACCTTTTCCGCGATCGACTGCTGGCAATGAGTATGTTATTATTGCTTCTGACTACTTGACTCGTTGGGTGGAAGTTGGTGCTCTTACTAGTGCCTCTGCAACTGCTGTTGGATACTTCCTCCTCAATCG